ACATTTCCTCGCGCTCCAGTCTTCCAGAGGCGCTCGCGAACACAGTCAAATATAACGTTTATATATTACTATCTACATGTCTCTATTCCAGGTAGAACATAAAATTCATAAAGACGTCATTATGATATTATCATGATTTTATTCAACATTTAAAAGTTTTCTAGATATGTCCAGATAACTTTTATGTGATAAATAAAATTGTGATAGTCATAATGACGTCATTATGAGTTTTATGTTCTATCTGGGTATCATATTACGAATGGTCAAACTAATGTCAAAATTATGTCACGATTTTGACATCAAGAAAGCATAAAAAATTTATTCAACTTGACATCATTTTGACGAACTAAAATTTGATTATATTTTGACATCATTTTGACATCATTTTGACTTTTTTGTTCTCCTTGGGTTGCGAGTCGTTCTCTTCGACTCGCGGTTTTGACAGTTTGTATTTAAGAGGGTTATTTTGACAGTTTATGTTTCGATCTCGTTGCGAGTCGTTCACTTCGACTTGCGGTTTCGACAGTTTGTATTTAAGAGGATTATTTTGATAGTTTATGTAATGTAATATATAATGTGGAAGAACAATGGCGCGCGCGAAGCGCGCGCTTGTGTTGTTCTAGTCTAATTAAATTTTGAGAACATTCAAATAGTTTTCAAAAGGAAATGCTGAAATGTTGTCTAATGGTCCAAATTTTTCAACATCGGTACTTAGATGACACAATATATGAACGTTATAAATAAGAAATTGAGGGCCATAAATGTTTTCACAATGTTTTATAAACATAACTAAAAGCTCATTAGCTAATTGAGTGCCTATCTTATTAATATGTTTCTCAGAACACAATAAAAAAATGCTGCAATGAAATAAAAGAAAATTTTCATAAAATGCAATAGGCAGAATGTCTTTCAATACTACAGGACCTAAATAAATAAGAAACATTCCATATTCTGTAGCTTTCCAACGTGCAAGCTCAATCAAAGTACGAGATTTTCTATTAAACTCGACAGGAATGAATTTTCTATAATAAATTAATCTCTCCGATATAAGATTTATTAATCGACTAGGCAAGCGTATCTTTAAATTACCACACATCCAACTATTTAAAAGTTTTCTCATCACACCTAAACATACAGCATGCATGTAATCAATTGGAAAATTTGTAATTAAACCAATTGGAAGTTTTGAACGAGGAGAAACACCTGTATGATGATCTTCATCAATAAGTAACTTAAAATCCAAATCTGTTCTTCTTGGAGCAGAAACATTTTTATAGATAACTCTATTTTGAACATACTCCCCAGTTTCTGTACATTTATCACAAGATGAATAACCGTTATATGACTTCGTACGTTTTATGTAAGCTCTAGCTGGAGCATCACAAATGAAACTGTGAACTTTTACAGTATATAACTTATTTTCAAATAAAAATCCTTCATGTAACAATTCAAATAATTCATTTACAAAATCTTCTAAAAAAATATCAAGTGGAGCAGGTTTAGAATCGCCACAGTACATAGCAATAACAAAAGGATTATTATTAGGATAATTTTTTATCAAACCTAAAATAGGCCATAACTGACCCAGATAGCACCGAATGTTCCATGAATGTTTGTATATGATTCGAATGTTCTCTCTCAGGAATATTCGCATGGATGTGCCGTGAATGTTTCTAGAATGTTCTTCATATTCTATGAACATTCACACAGAATGTCCAGGGAATATTCGCATTAAATGTTCCCTGAGTGTCTATGGCATATTCTGAATGTTCTATGAATATTCTTACAGAATGTATATGGAATGTACACATGGAATTTTCTACGGATATTCTTACTGAATATACGTGGAATATTAGCAGCGTATATGCTACGAATGTTTATGGAATGTTGTAAATGTGCTATGAATATTCGCATAGAATGTACGTGGTATATTCACGAACTTCTATATGAACATACGCAGTATGTTCCATTATGTTCTAGGAATATGCTATGCATGTTCAAATGATGATTGGTGTTTCTGGGCGCTGCTTGCTATGCACCCAAAAAAAATTCTATTCATAAGCGGGGAAATCCTCTAAGTATTTCCTCTAAGCAAAAAATCTTATATAAAGCATTTCTCACTTACTTTAACACATATTCATCTATAAAAGAGTAGGGTAAATATGCAGAAAAGGTCACACCTCACCGATTTCCTCGCCACTAAGATATGTTGTAGGGGAGAGTTTTCTAAGTAATTCCCCGCAAGAATCAAGTGGGGGACGGCATTGGTTTAGGAGATATAACAAATTGAAAACTAAAAATTTTAATACTTTTTCTTAGTAATTTTTTATTAAAATGCCTGTGTAGCTACCTTTAAAATCATAAACAAACAACCATTTTCATTTACAAGGTCACACCTGTCCCCTCCCGCAACGGTCGGTACGGATTGAACACACACATACACGCGCGCGCGCGCACGCTTAATTCTTCTCGCGGCGCAGACTGACCGAGCAAGCGAGATCCACTCTACACCTCAGACATGGTTTGGGTATGGTTATATTTTAACGAAGTGGAGCCCCCCCGAACCCAGGTAGAACACAAAATCATAATAATATCATAATGACATCAAATAGAACTCATTTTAGGAAAAATCATGATGATGTCATTCGATACACTTTTTAGGAGCATTTTGTGACAAATTCTTGATGTAGCAATGATTTTTAAGTGATTTTTAACTAGGTATGTAAAAAAGGAAATCACAATGACATCAAAATGATATCTAAATAATGTCAAAATGATGAGAAAATGATTAAATCATGATTAAAAAATGAGTTTTTGTAATTTTCTAATCCTCTTGATTGCTTGCATTCAATAAAATAAATATTTATTTTGCAACTATTAAAATAATAACTATTAAATAATGTCAAAAAGGTGAAAAAGATAGCATAAAATTGAATACACTATCTGTAATTGCACTTGACAAAATACATTTTTATCAATACAAGTTCATACAAACATTAAAAATTGCACTTGACAAAAACATTCTTTTCAATACGAGTTGATACAAACATTAAAAATTGCACTTAAAAAAACATTCTTATCAATACAAGTTCATACAAACATTATTGTATTACAAAATAACATCACAAAAATAATATCACTCTTATTGGCTTGGTTGGAAAAATTGGCTAATTATTGCACACAAAATGTAGTACTTTAAGAGATCATGTGTTAATAATGTAAAAATTAAAATAAAATATTTATTTTTAATGGGAAAGCAACTTGAAAAAACTGCGCGTGCATAACAGAAAATGATTTTCAAAAAATAGAAGTAGTTCAAAATTGAAATTCTGACAGTTATATTAGGATAATATAAGTACATCATATTAATATAAAAATTAACAAATTCTTCTCTAATTATCTCTTTTAACTCTCTTTTAACTATAACGTAAAAGTACTATGTTTGAATATGTACTTAAAATCTATGATTCTTTGTGTCCTCTTTAAATCATTTTTCAATCATTTTTGTTTGGGTAACTTTTAAGTGATGAATTAAATCATGATGACGTCATTATGACGTCATTATGAGTTTTATGTTCTACCTGGGAAGGGGGGGCGGAACATACTGTCTCCACGCATGTACTTCCACCATTATACTGTTCCACAGGCTTGCAACTTTCCACGTGAAGCGAGATCCACTCCACACCTCTGACATAGGGTGGGTAGGGTTATTTTTAACGAAGTGGAGCCCCCCCGAAGGGGGGGCGGAACATACTGTCTCCACGCATATTTTTCTACCCACTTCCCTCCACCAAATGTAGATAGAAAAATGTATGCGTGAAGACAGTGGGTTCCGCCCCCCCTTCGGGGGGGCTCCACTTCGTTAAAAATAACCCTACCCACCCTATGTCAGAGGTGTGGAGTGGATCTCGCTTGCTCGGTCAGTCTGCGCCGCGAGAAGAAGCGT